AGGCCCTGAAACCATAAACTTAATTTAGCACATAAGTCCTATTTTTAGATGCCACTGCAAGCCCCCAAACTGCCACTCAGCTCCCACCTAAAGTTGCTTGGAACTTAAGTTTTTGCTATAAAAGTTCTCTAGGTCCCTAAGTTTTGGCCTCTGAGCATGTGCACTGTGGCCTCACTCCTGGAATATGGGTACTTATCTCCTCCCTAAGTCCTACAGCAAAGGATGAACACGAGGAAGTAACCACTCCTCCAATGAAGTTACATGTATGGCCTTACCCATTTTGCATGCTCAGAGACCTCTTAATACATCACACACAATACCAGGAATGACAAGAATTTCCCTTATAATATGTAGCCCAGGAGTGAAAGCACTCGTCTGGCAGGTGGATGACCACCTGTTCAAGTCACCCTTCCCTCACCTCATGAGGTGAAGAGATTAGAACAGGAATCTGTCTCCTCTCAAGTGAATGCCCTAACCCCTGGGCTATAGAGTCACTCTCTGTGACTCAATGAATAGCTAATCATTCAATTACTGAGTTAAGTGGAACAACTTCCATAGGCGATGGGGGGGGGGGGGATAGCTATTAGACCACTTGCATGAGAGGTAGCAGTTCCTTTTTCAAATCTCATCTCCCTTAAGTAGAGGGAAAACTTGAACCACTGGTCTCTCTCAGCAGGTAAGCTTTCAAACCACTGGGCTAAACATTATAAAGGAGTACCTCCTGGGCTGTTCTGTGTGCAGAGAAGCCCCCTCTGAGCACAACTACTGGATCAGGTCCCATACTCAACTTACATGGAGGAGTGCCTATCTTCCTCCCTTTATGGATCACTTGCCTTGTTGCAGCACACCCTAAGGTGCCAAACTCCATGGCTGCGTCTAGATTGGCATGATTTTCCGGAAATGCTTTTAACGGAAAAGTTTTCAGTTAAAAGCATTTTCGGAACAGAGCATCTAGATTGGCACGGATGCTTTTCCGCAAAAGCACTTTTTGCGGAAAAGCGTCGGTGCCAATCTAGATGCACTTTTCCGCAAAAAAGCTCCGATCGCCATTTTCGCGATCGGGGCTTTTTGCGGAAAACAAATCAGAGCTGTCTACACTGGCCCTTTTGCGCAAAAGCTTTGCGCAAAAGGGACTTTTGCCTGAATGGGAGCAGAATAGTATTTCCGCAAGAAGCACTGATTTCTTACAGTAGGAAGTCAGTGCTTTTGCGGAAATTCAAGCGGCCAGTGTAGACAGCTGGCAAGTTTTTCCGGAAAAGTGGCTGATTTTCTGGGAAAAACTGGCCAGTCTAGACACAGCCCATGAGAGAGCTGAAGCTTAGCTTACACCCATCTCATCAGCATCTCCTGTGGATTAACATCAGGCTACTTGCCTAGGGTTCTGGCTTTGTGAGACAAAATCAACAAGGGGGGGGCGCGAAGGAGAGGTGGAGAAGGGGTCAAATGCCCCAGGACCCAGCAATTGAAGAGAGTCTACTGCTGTGGTGAATAGAGCCCCCAGGCTTTTTAAATCACCATCAGAGCCCCTGTTCTTCAACCCACTCCAGCTGTCAGTGGTCCCATAGCCAACTCCCCTCCCCAAATTGCCCAAGGCCCAGGAAAGTCTGTCGCTAGCCCTGCTCCTTGATCATCAGACTAACTCAGGCTTTGTGGATCACAGCATTGTGCCAGATTTTTTTCTAGTAGCCTAAAAGTTAAACGTGATGCTGAGCACCCCAACACCTAGGTACCGGTGCCTGATTTATGAATGGAACATTTATTGCTTTCAATGAGAGCTGGGTGTACAGCCTATTCCAAAATCAGAGTGTGCATTAGAAAAATGTTGGTGGTATTATAGTGTTCATCTAGTTTTCAATAAGGATGTGAAAGGTTAACTGGTAAGCATCACCCTTTAGAGATGATGCTTACCAGTTTTGGTTAACTGGTGTGTCTAGAGCAGCTCTCCACCCAGCATGGGTAGGGGGCTGCCTGAACCCTGTGGGGCCTGCCGTGGACAGGGGTTGTCTGAACATCCAGAGCAGCCCCTGCCTTCAGTGACCCAGGGTGGGCCTGCAGGCAGGTGCTGATCCAGCTGGAGTGGAGTGCCCCCCCCTTAATGGATTAACCAGTTATATGTAAAGGTTAACTGGTTAACCAATTACATGGGATTTTACATCCCGGCTGTGTCTAGACTGGCAAGTTTTCCCGCAAAAGCACCTGCTTTTGCGGAAAAACTTGCCAGCTGTCTACACTGGCCGCCTGCATTTTCTACTGTCTGAAATCAGTGCTTCTTGCGGAAATACTATGCTGCTCCCGTTCGGGCAAAAGTCTCTTTGCGCAAAAGGGCCAGTATAGACAGTCCAGATTTGTTTTCCACAAAAAGGCCCCGATCGTGAAAATGGCGATCGGGGCTTTTTTGCGGAAAAGCGTCCGTGCCAATCTAGACGCGCATTTCCGCAAATGTTTTCAATGGAAAACTTTTCCGTTAAAAGCATTTGCGGAAAAACATGCCAGTCTAGACATAGCCCCCTAGTTTTCAATATGATGAAGTGCAAAGGAAGAAGCAAATAAGCTGAGATTGGTGAGCTTTTGTTCGGGGGAAAAAAAAACTTAAAACAAATAGTCCTGCAGCACCCTGGAGACTAACAAAAAAATAAAGATATCATGAGCTTTCGTGGGTGCAACCCACTTTTCCAGAAGCTCAGTGCTACAATAATATTCACAATAGCTGATGAACAGTCACCAAGTTCAAGATTGCTTATCAACAAGCAAATGGAATTGATTAGAAAAGATGGAAATTTTATATACTTATCCAGCTAAAAACACCTCATTTCATAAACTTATTTTTGAAAAATGAATGTGATCTTCAGAATTAAAAAAGGCCAGTAATTAACAGCTGATGTGGGGAATACTCTCACATTATTTCCTTATACTCTGTACTTAATATTTACCCTTCTCACATTATTTCCTTATAGTCTGTACTTCATATTTACATTAACAGAGTCAAAACTTATTCTACCTCAGTTCAAGATCTCAATTAAAAATCATACTTATAATATGTAGTGTTTCACAAATACCCTTTTTTCCTACTCTAAATCCTAGGAATAGGATAATTAACTTTATCACAAATTCAGTGCAGAACACACCTCACTTTTTTATAATCTATAGCTGAAAAGTGTAAATTAAAGAACAATTTTTGAAGAACAGCCTGCAGTTAGAAAGTTTATGCAATAAGAGTCAAAATATGTTGTTTTTAAAGGAAGCTATTAAATATGGTGAATAGTTATGGTCTCTGAAATAGGTGGGAAGTGTGGTGGTATAGAAAGCTGAAAGACTCTATTCCTTACTTATACCTTTCTCCCTAAAGAAGTAGATTAAAAAACCCTTAGGAAATGTAGTTTTTTGAAAAAGCATAACATTCTAGGATAAGATTACATTTTGCAAGATAACAGACATACTGGAAAAACACTTTGAACGGGTAAAGTAAAACAAACAAGCTTGTCAAAGAAACATGATATGCTCATATTAAAAAAAACCTTTATTGCTCCATTCACTGAGCTTTAAACCTGCACCTCTCTAACTGCTGGTGTGATTTGTTCTAAACTTTCAGCCCTGGCACAACAATAGTAGAGGGGGTGGCTTTTCAAAATCAGATTTTTAAAACTTCAAGCAGGGATGAGCAGCAGGGTTTATTACGGGTCTGTAGTTCCTACTCGGCGCCTAGCCCACGTAAGAGCTGGAATTAGGAGCGCTGGGGGTGTGGCAGCACCCCCTGGCTTCAAGAGGTATCCCTCAAATTCAGGGTTTAGTTCTCTGGTTCCCCGCAACCCCTCCCCCAATAAAAACGGTCCCAGCAGCTGTGGGGGAGGGAGGTGCAAATGACTTCGCAGCAGATGGGTCATTAGCAGTGGTTCAGGGACTCCAGTCAAGGCGGTGACCACAGCCCCTGAGGCGGGCGGTGAGAACACAGGCTCGGCA